TAAAATAAACAAAAACGGCCTCACCGGCCGGTCCCCTCACCTCCCATCCACCCTCTGCTCCAATTCAAATCAATTGGGCGGGTAGGTCAGAGCTGGTAGAAGTTCAAAACCAGTTGCTCTCCGTCCAATCAATCTTCCGCACCAATAACATACATTCTATTCAATTCACAGCAGTATTTAGTACAAACCCTATATTCACATTGCCGATATTTGAAACGGAAATTCAAACATTCAATTCATTATGTACATACAATCCTATCATCTAACTTTAATTGACATAAAAACTCATCAAATCCTTCTGATTAAATAGATATCAGCTCTAATGACCACATTATCCCTTTCCTTTGTTTTTCTTTGATCTATGCAACTATGAATCTCTTCATCTAAACAACGAATAACTTTTCTTTGCTTCACTTTCTTCTTGTATTGATAGACTAATGCTGAGTGTTGCCTAAGAACATGATCTGATGAGACCCAAATTGTAAAGATTCTTCCTTACCAAGCTGCCAAGGTATAGAAGCCCGGCAACAGCGATTGATGAGTCTTCTTGTGCTGAATTGGGTTGAATCGGCTTAGTCTGATCTGATTGGTAGCCATCATAGACCTTCAACCTTCCCGCGCCGACCCGCTCGATGATGGCGTCGATTGTTTTTTGGTCTGTTGGGTGGCCGGCAGCGTCGGTTACATAGAATATGTTTAATGCCATATCCCCTTTTGTAGACACCTCAGCTCTTGTGACTGAAAGCCCGTTCTCCCTGAATGCTCTTGTTGCCTCTGCGAGCAGCCCGGATTGATGATCTGCTGCACATAACTCCAATCCCAAACCCTAAGCGAAACAAAAAGTAAATGAAAAAAGAGAAGCAAATTACTCTAATTAGTTCTAGTTCAAGTCAAATACTTAAATAAAAGAGAATTTTATTTTTGTTTAGTGTATGACTATAATGCACTCTCACTCTTTCAGGTGCATCTCAACAAATTAGACCAAGTTCCTAATGGAATCTATGAGTAGGTATTGAGATGAGACCTCGGATGCTCTGCGATCGATGGCAGCTTGAAGGCATTGTATGACTCTTTGCCTTTCTGCTTCCGAACTGATTGGGGTCCCGTCGGAGTGACGAATGCAGAATTCCTGAATTCGGCAAAGGATGAGATCGATGAATTCAGAAAAGGGGAATATGAGTTGGAAGATGGGGAGGAGGCAATTACTTGGTAAGCGCGATCGTTGGTGGTGTCGATGGTGCCGTGGAAGACTACATACTCCATGTCGGTAAGGGTGCAGATGACGTCAAAGAGAAGCTTTGGGCGGTCGCGGCACTGAACGTTAACGATGGAGTAGCCCCGCTCAGTCCAGTTCTGGACGGAAACGGAGGGCTTGGTGGCACCGGAGTTGCCGCGTTCGTAGTCGCGGTCGGCGAACATCATTTGGTGGAGACGGCGGTCGGCATAAGTTCCGCCGGCAGAAGCAGTGATGGCTGAGGACGAGACGGCGGTGGTGGCCCCGCGTACGACGTTGCGTAAAAGGGCTTCAATACGACGGATCTTCTCCGAATCTTCGATTCGCAGCCCGGTGTCCTCCTCCTTCACGAATATGAGAGCGGCGATCCGGCCATTATGCGTCCAAAGCTTGGCCTCAGCGACGCTACAATGGAGATCGGAAAGCACGGCAAAGACTTCAGAAAGCAGACCAGGGCGGTCGGCTCCGGTGAGTTCTAGGGTTGTGAGAGTATCAAGGCCTCCGGAGACCACGACCGACTCATCCCCAGTGCCGAGAGACCGCTCTATGAACGAAATCACACTCTCATCGGTGAGTTTCTGGCCATACCGATCCGTGACGTGAAAGACATCCATGAACCACCGGCCATCGGAGGAGATGTAAGCCTTTTTGATCAAGAGGTCAAGATCGGTTAGCACCTGAACCGCCTCGAGAAGAATCCCATCCTTCCTGGCGCTATCGACCTGGATTCATAACAATGAAGCATTATAGATCGAACTCCAGATTAATTTGGGGGAAAAGAAGCGTAAGCGGAGAGGTTACCTTGACCAAAGTTGCGGTAGCGCAGACTGCATTGTCGATCACAACCCTGAGGAAAAATTCAAAAAAGAGGTAAACAAAGATGACCCCAGAAGCCTCGAGAGAAGAATTCCAGATCTGGAATAGCCGAAAAAAATTTCGGAGAAGATAGAATCAGAAGAAAACAGCGCGTGGAAAAATTTCCAATCCGCGCGAAAATTTCAAACCAAAACTCGAGAAACTTCTCCGCTGCAGACCAAATAAAAAAATAAAAAAAAACACAGCAGATTAATTCTAAAAAAAATTAAAAAAAAAAACTCCGAAACAACCCTGAACTCTAGAATTCAAAATGAGAGATTGAAATCGGGAACGCAAAATCGTGCGAAGCAACGTGGGAGGGAAACCCTTACCTTGGTGTGTTCATCCGGATTACAAGCTTCTGGTACTCATCAAGCGAAGCTGACCTCATCTCTTCTCACAGACACAAATAACAAAACCTTCTCTCGCCAAATCAGAACTCGAAGCCGCTTTTTCTTCTCTGGTTTCTGTTTCTCACCTTCTCAGAGGAGAGAAGAGATGAGGTTACAGTCGCGCATTGGTGGTATTTAAAGAGAACCCGAACGGGTTAACAGAAATTGGAGGGCCACATGGGTTGGAATTTGCACCGAACTGTTCACGGGTCGGCCCACCTGCCAACCCGATAGGCAACCCGACCGGAAATGGGTGGGCACTTTAGCTTAACATTAATTATTTACTATATTTAATTTGTGCCTAATCAACATAATTCCCCATATCTCGATGCCTCTGTCCATCTGATAAAAAAATTAATATTTGTTATTTTTTCATAATTTCATCGTAAATATCTTTATAAATCTATTATTTATTTATTATTATATGTTTTACAAATTTTAGATTTTATCTATTTGGAAGATTGTTATATTATTTATATATACTTAATTCAACCGCTTACTTTCATCTATCATGCATATGATTCATGAATTATATCTCTAGCCCTATACTAACATATGATATTCATTAGCTTTGTCATTTGTCATTATATCTCTAGTCCAATATTATTGCTAACAATAATATTGTTTTTTTTTTTTTGTTTTTTTCAAAATCACCATTAAAATTGATGTACAACACCTATATTAAAGATGATATGTGTGATTTATGCTAACATCGATGTTCGTTAGCTTTGTTATTTGACATCAATAATAACAACAAAAATAATCATCTTTTAAAATAAGATGTACTATCAATACAAGTATTGATGATTGTCATCACTAGTAAGAATGATATATGTTGTGGACATTGACATCAATGTATGTTATTACCGATAAACTCAATGATCATTGCTGATAATATTAATGTTCGTCATTGTCAATTAGTAGATATAAACCATCAACAACAATGTTGATGCATGTCATTGTCAACATATTGATGCATATTGTTTATTATCACTCAAAAAATATAATACTCATTAGAAGTTAATCCTAACACTAGTCATTATTAGTAAGACTAATGCATATTATTAATATTAAGATTAATGCATACTAACACCAATAATGTTGATGTCTAAAACTAATGTCAATTTTGATGCCCACTATTATTAATAAATCCATATTTTTTATCAATATCAATGTCAAACACCTAACAAAAACAACAAAGTCGATAACTGACAGTGAACCTAATTCTGATGTCTGACAGTAACATTAACGTTTGCATATATTATTTACACCAACGCTTTATATTCATTTTTTT